AAGGCATGAATTATTCGTCTTTCTTACTTCAGCTACTACAGATATTTATTTAACAACAAAACTCTTTATTTCCCATCCCTTAGGTATAAAAAAAAAAATTAGCATAATCAATGCATACCCACTAATACACAAATCATGTCAATAAACATATATGCATAAACATATCAATAGAAACAATACTTACTTGGAAAACAAGTTCTCCGCCTCCTACACTGAACTGTGACTGGAAAAGCAGGGAGAATTTCTCATCCATCACTGACTCTGTGCCCTTTTTCTCAGCTCGCTTGATCTTCCTCAGCTGCATATTACGGAAACTAACTGAAAGCTGCCTTGAAGTCTGCAAAACAAGTGGGAAAAAATATAACATGTGACTGCCATGAACCAACCGGATCCAAGGGATTAACTAATCCACTCATAGACATGCAGCTTTTACCTACCTGGTTATACTCCATAGTTCCAGTGTTGTTCAGGATCTCACCAGACTGTTCCCCCTTGTTCATTTGGTCATTCTTCAAAAGGGCATTAGCCTGGGCTTCACTGATGATAGAAACTCGCACCTGGGGTGGGGTCATGTTCACGTTTAATTTGCCTCCCACAAGTAAACGGACAGTTGCTGTGAAGCGTGTGTTTGTCTTCATCACTTGGGGTGGCTGTTTTTCAATAATAAATGTACTGCAAATAAAAAGAAAAGAAATGTAAAGGTGCATATTCTCTCTCTCTATATATATATATATGTACACTGTAAAAAGTGTGTTAGTCTATTAAACAAATAGGATTACCTGGTAACCAGTGATGACAAGAGACGAGTAATGTGGGAATTGAGAGTTGGCAGCATGTCAACTCCGCCAGGAGGAGCTATGGGTATCTTAGTCTGGTGTCGCTCACATTCTTTTATTTGGTGTCGATTGAGCCATATAATTTCTGCTAGTGCTTCACACCTGACAAAAAAAGGATATACAGACATACTCCACATATAAAAATCAGAAGTGAATGAAATAAATAATGCAGATTATCAGCTTGTTTGTTTTTTTCTAGCTAAAATAAATGAAATATAATATCTATATAGATGATGACTATATTTCTTTAGATAATAAAAACAATTCTATTACACTCATCTTTAATCACTGCTGTTATTATTGCAACCAAGAGGGAACTCAATATCACATATATAATCCTGGACTAGAGGAAAAGGATGAGGAATCCAAAGAACTTACCATTCTTGTATCTGGTCTAATTTGTTTGGATTAAAAGGTTTACCATTCCCATGCATCTGCTGGTCTCTCTTCCAATTAATTAACTCCTCATCTAGGATGCGCTGCTGAAGACTATTTAAGCGATCAATGGTACCTTTGTGCTTATCTGCCAGAGCCATGCGGAGCTGCAATAGCCCTGACACCTGTCGATAATTGAAAGGCCACATTTCAGATCCATATTCTATTGGTTATACAATATCTAGTCTTATTTCTTTTTCCTTCTCAAAGAATGAGATACAACATGAAATATTTCATATGACCCAATAACTGCTTGTACATACTAATCCCAAACTATCATGAACAAAGCATAAAAAGTGATCTCTAAGAGAACAAACCTTCTGTGCCAACTGTTGCTCCCCTAACTCTTTCCGTCTCCGAAGGCTCTGTTCCATCTCTCGATTCTGTTGCGTTCTCTCCTGGCTTTGAATGTGGGATAGGTGAGCTGTAACAAAAATTAACATTACTATATATTTCTGAACACTACTATCCAATCTATTCCTATAAATGTGAACATCTATAACACCTCATAGCATGTAATTTATACTATAATCACAATGGTTACTTTGTATTTAGTTCTAAGGTATTTGCACATAAATTTAAAAAAAAATCATAACTCATAATTTGAAAGAAATCTGAGAGATCAAGAAGACATTGTAGTTTTAAGCAGCATTAACATTTCCATTAAAAACTGACCTATCATATAAAAAAGCACATTTAAAGAATGAAAATTAACATATTTCCAAATTTCTATATAAAATAACTGCAGGCTCTAAATCTCTTAAAACAAAGTAACATAATAAAAGCCATATACAACAGTTCTTACATATACTTTTAAGATACCATTGAAAAGATGCTGATCAAAATATAGTGCCTCAACACTGACCATTAATTTTTGCACAGTCATGGTACTGTAAGGCAAATGATTCTTGCTCTTGTTCCAAATGTCTCAGTTCATTTGCCGTTTCCCGTGTACGTTCATGAAGTATCCTTAACTCCTGCTCAATTTCTGCACATGGTTCTATGACCATGTTTGTTGCATGTGAAACACCTCCTCCTAACATCTACAAAATGAAAAATATAAATAAAGATCAAAAGTGACCAATACCCTTAAACGAAAAAAAGAAGGATTACCGAACAAATCATCACAGTCTGTTCTCAGGTCTGAACATAGGAGAACAAACAAATCTTCAAGTATACATGCCTACATGCTTTAAATTAGGAATTGATAAAAGACAAATAAGCAGATA